ATGCCAGCGAGTACAATAAACCTGGCCAAAAGATGCTGGGTGCAGATTGGAGCACAGGCTGTTGATGGCAAAAATGCTCTGGCTAAAGGAAATCCTTCAACCATTATATTCCATTTTAACAGAAGTTAGCAACGGCTTAGAACTCTGGGTTCTAACACATCTGTGTCTCACTACATGTTTAAACAAACCATTCTATTCTGTAAGCTTCGTAGTAAGGTTTTCTAATACTGTTCTTTCATAATCCAACAATTAAATGATCAATTGAATATGATGCAATGTATATAATCTGGAGGAACGGGACACTGAATTAAAACATCAAATGCATTTAGCGTTAAATGAAAACTATATAAAAGCATTTCAGCCATCACTCTAGCTATCACTTCTAGCCACTATGAATTCTGCAGGAAAAGCTATTTTCGTGCAGATGTGGAATTCAATGGGAAAGACTGACTCGTGTAGCAACATCAATCAAAATGTCGGCTCTGTTGGCAGCTATCCACAGCAAGGCAGGTTCAAAGGTCACAGGATAAAGAAAAAGCCAAGCTCTGGTTCAGCTCTAATATCTCCTCGCTAGAAGTCTTGCAAAGGTACCTACCCCCTTCTGTATCAGGCTGCTTTCATTAATCTTCTTGCCATCTTCTTTAACTAGTCATGCAGAACCGCTCGATAGCAAGACACAGAATGGGGAGGCCTCATGTCTATTACCGGGTTAACATTCTGTTAAGCCCCAGTGCAACAATGGAATAGGAATGTAAAGGAAATCTTAAAGCACAGAATGCAATGCAGGCAATTAAATTACAACTTGAAATTACCAATATGTTTGTGACCTACAGAACCAATTGCCTTTGTTTAACCTACCTTAGAATTAAGGCTACTTGACTGAACAACAGCGATCCTTTTAGCTTAATAAAGAATAAGATGATAAAGAATCATTATTCAGTGGCTTGCATTTAACTAGCAAATAAAACAGATTTCTGCAGATCTTGGCAAGTACTTGGGAATGGAAGAAAGATTAATTTAGTTTCACTGGATTAATCTATCCTTAATTCTACCAAGAGGCCTATCTTGAAACTACTAATCCCCTCAAAACTTCAGTACTTGATCGATGTTCTCTTTGTGCAGATGTTGTGGTAACTTGGTAACCCTAAACTGTAAGAGGGACAGTAACTGTATGCATTGATCACAGCCCACACTTTGCCTATGGTGCACTTTTTAAAAATAGACAGTGGACTGGGGCACTGCAGTTTTACCTGTGTTCATATAATGTAAGCCAATAACATAATCACATTTCCTTTAAATTACACTATTGCAAGGGGATATAATTGCATTAAACCTATTATGTTGCTTCCTTAAGACTTTATATTATGTACACTTAATTGAGATACAGAGCTCTTTTCAGCTATAAAAATGACAGCTACTTTATTAAGGTTTAAATCTTATTTCTTAATGATAGGACGCTTCCTTTCAAGATTCACAACCTGCAGAATCTTTTGTGAGAATCAGACTGAACCTGATTTGCACAAGCACTTTATACACCGTGTTTGCAAATTCTAATGGCACTGGGTTTAACCAGGAAAGCCATTACCTCGTCTCCATGTTTGCATTCAAGGAGCTTAACTTCATTCAGAAATAAGGGTACGTCTAGATTACAAGCCTCTTTCGAAAGAAAGCATCTAGACTACAGCCAGTACTTTTGAAAAAGCGAGCCGCTTTTTCGAAAGAGAGCACCCAGGCACTAACCCTGGGCCTTGGACAAGGGCACACAAAAATCCTCAGACGGTTCCAATTATATCCTCAACACTAACTACACATAGCTTCAATATCTTATTTCAAAACAATTAGATGCTTTTGCACATTGATTTTAGTTAGATGCAGCCCTGTGATAAGAGAAGTTACAACTCCTTACCCCAACTCTCAAATCATTTCAGAGAGGTAGCTGCTGTTAGTCTGTAACTTTAAGAACAATGAGTGGTCCCGTGGCACCTGAGAAACTAGCCCAAATACACAGAATGACAAGCGCTCATGATTCTATATCATTGTCAGTCTCTAAGGTGCCACAGGACTCCTTGTTGTTCCCAACTCTCAGCATTCACCAGAAGCTATTCAAAAGCTGGACCTCTCAAGTTGCAAAGTTCCATGTACAGTACTTTGTCTTGCACAAGGATGTGGCTTTACATCTTCATGCTATGAACTAGCCTTCCAGGGAAACGTGTGTGTTTAAAGGGAACTCTACTGACAGCCCCCTGTGTTCCCATAAGCTGCACGTTTCTGCAGCCTCCCAGGAGAGGTTCAACTTAGGGATGTAAGCGACAAGTCGTGAAGTAACTCAACTAGTTGCTTCTCCCCTCCCCCCCCCCCGCTGCCTCTATCAGAGGGGAGGGGAAGAGATAGGGCAGACGGTTGCAAAGCAGCCCCTGTCCACAGAGGTCCCAGTGGGGCTCCAAGAGTCTGGTGGCAACACTGCATAGTGGTCCTATCGACTAATCGTATTCTACCAACTAGGATTAGCTCGGTAATCACAATTTAACATCTCTAATTCAAATGCCACCCAGCTGATTAGAAGAGTGTCCACAGCTAGGTGTTTTGTTTCTACTGGTGGTGCACATTCGCACATGCCACGGGAGAGCATAGAGAGAACACTGACTCCCACCACCAATTTTATACCCTACTGCTATTTAAACATCTTTTCAGAGGTGCATTTCTGCAAGCTTAGAGTCTCTATAGTCCGCAAGACACAGTAACGAGTCAAATGCTTAGCTGTGTCAGTCATACTTTTGAGCAATTTTGGCATATATCTTTAGTCACACTGATCACAATGGCCAAACTGCTTTGACAATAGAACTCTGCAGAAACACCGAAAGGGGCTCTAGGTGGAAGCGTTTCAAAACCACCTCTTTCTGTCTGGAGATAGGACAGGTAGGTCCCGCAGAGCAGCGAACAACTTTGTTACAACCCAACTGCTAACGTCCACAGAAAGCCGTCACTGTAACAAACAGTCCAGCCTGTCTGTGCACGGGGTGTACAATCTCAGTTCTGAGTCGCACAGTGCTTCTGAAGGACTAGATGGAGCACGCTTATGTTACAAGAGATAAAAACATGGAAACAAAATATATTGCAGAACTGAAAACCCTTATCTTTTCCCAGCCTCCCTTTCGTTGCAGTAATTCATTCAAGGAGGCCCCAAGAATAATTTTTGATGTAAACTCTGTCACAAACATATATCACAATGCTGATAAACATCACAGACAAAACTTAGGAGTTCCATTCCCTTACCCCGCTCACATAACTTTGTGTCTTTTCAAATTCAGTCGATACTGATCTGCCACTAATAGTATCCCAGACTGTATCATCCTGGGATGTCACGCCGCAGTCTCCCGTATGGCCCTAGAATAATGCCGTCGGGGGCACCTTGACTGAACCTGGTAGGCGCAGATTTCAGGAAGAAGAAAAGGATGATCTTCGCCCTTTCAAAGTATACAGAATGCACTGCACTCTGGAAATTGTGGGGACTGTGAGAGAGAAAAACAAAACCCGTGCTCCCGCAAAGGCTGCCTTTGTCATTGCACATTCGCAGCCTTTGGAAGCCATGCCAGGCCACTCTGGAGGGAGCCTCAGTGTGCTGTACCTGGACACAAGTGCCCCCTCCAGCAGCAGCACGTGCTCCCTCGGCAGCGCTGGCAGGCCAAACAGACCCTCCCTCCCCGCATTTCAATTGCAGACCAAATGGAGATCGTTCGGCTGCAAAGCGAGTGTCTGGACACAGGGTGCCTGCTGGGCTAGCGTGCGCCGAAGGCTGAGACTTCTGCGACAGCAGCCTAGACTTAGGACTGGGGTTTCAGACACAGCCTGGTTGTAATGTGCGCACCATTTTGCAACCGCACTGTGGGTGCAAACGTACAGTAGGACGTGAACGGGTAACCGGTTAACTGGCTGGAAAGCAGCTGAAAGTCTCGCCGTGGGGCTGCAGGAGGGACTGGCCGGTGGCCGGCAGCCCTTCCCCACCGAAACGTCCAACACCAGGCAAGGCCGTCGACTCCCAGCCTGCAAGCCTCGCACAATCGTGAATAAATTCAGTGGCACCCACGCTTTCACCCTTCCTGAGTAATGTGACAAACTCCTGCCCTCGTGAGCGCACGCTGATTTCTGCCTCGCGGGACACGTGCTCTTGACACTCTCCTGCTCCCACCACTCAGGCACACGGGTAGTGACATCTACAACACACAGAGCATTCTACTGCGGGGTCACTTCCGACAACTGGCTATTTCCACCTGTTGTCCTGTTTTCATCATCGGCAGCACAAACACTCCCAGGCAGAATTCAGCCCAGGGAACCAACCGAAACATCCAGGCCTTAAACTCCCAATCTGCGCCCCACACCTCCAGTCTGCTGAAAGGCCGGTGCCCCAGGGCAGGCCTTCTGGTTCCTGAAGAAATCACTCCCTGCCCTGGCTCTCCAGCAAGGCTACTGGTTTGTGGAAGCTGAATTCTCTGAATCAGGGTGTGATCTCCGTGTCCTGTCCCCAGGCCTGCCGCTATTCCCGGACGTGCTGACACGCGGCACACATCTGAGATTTAAATCTACCTCTAAGCACATGGGTTCTTTAAATTCATTCAAGCTGCTACCCACAGGGCTGCTACACTAAAAGTTCAAGAGCTAGTGCAATAATGTTGGAAAATGTATCACAGCCAAGGGGTTAAACCTTGGATCACAGGAAGTAGCAATTTCCTGATGGAACGCTGTTGCTGAATACCGATGATAGCACAAGAAATACTTAACCGGGGTCAGCTCTTCAGTGGACAGTAAGTAGCGCGGAAAGGCTACTTGTTAAAAAGGTATCTACCCCGAACACCCTCTCCTATAATACAACCCAGTCCGATATAAAGAGATTGCATATAATGAGTAACGCACAAGACCTGGTGGCAATACATTCTCCTGGCGCCCTGCACATACCACGAGTGAGAGGGAGAGAGCAGAGAACATAAATAAAAAGCACTACTCACTTGGGCTTTTTTCTTCTGCAAGGTCACAGGCACAGAGGAGTTCAGAATCGATCGAAATGGGTTTCTGCTTAATCCAGAACTTAGTGCTGGCCTTCTGATTAGTAACAGGGTCTATCTCTACCTTGTCTCCAGATATACCTGCGAGGCAGAGGGGATAAAAAGCCACAACAGCGGACTCTGTAAGTGATTTCATAACAGCCGTTTGACACACTTTATAAATCTTATGCAGGATCAAAGTATATTGTCCTTTTGGGCTTTTCAAAAGAGCAGGCGTGTTTGAGGCCAAAAGCAAATGATCAAACTGTATACATAACCTGTAGGTTGCCCTTCTTGCTTGCTTTAAAAAAAAAAAAAAAGCATGATAGGAAAAAAAAAAGCATCAAGGAACACATTTTACAAGTACACGAGCACAGCTCTGCAGAGAGTGGATTATAAGATTTATAGAAAGATGCAGCCCCTGTGGTTTTTTAAGAATCACCACTCTTCTATCTACGTTTCCTGTCTCAGAAGACAATGTCCATTGATAGCATTGTATCAAGACCTTGTTTGCCATCCAGACGGAGACTTCCAAAGGAGGGTGTCCAGTCTTGGAGGTTGTGTGCATCTTTACACTACCCCAATTTAGAGCCAACCCTGATTAGGCAGCTTTAAAAGCAAGTCATGGATTCTGCAGCTCCAGAATTCTCCTGTTTATAGGCAAGCAGATGGCTACATCCGCAGAAAAAGGTAACTGTGTTATCACCTCAAATGTCATTTCTGAGCTTGTGCCCGAACAGCCTGTCCTTTGAGCGGGGACACCCAAGGTGCAAGCTGAGAGTTAACAGTGTGCTGGGGTCTACCCTGGAGTACACCCGGTAATTCACAGCTGTCTCTCTCACAGTATTACAAAGCAACAGCCTGCTCTGCTGCGCTGAATGGTACAGGAGCTCGTTGCTTGGTTTACAATTACAAGGCTTCTCTGTTGACACGACTGAACAAGCCTCTCAATATGCCTTTCATAGGGAGACCTGCGCGGAGCCTTAAAAGTAATTACATTTTTAGGTCATGAGTTATAGGTCAAGGGCACCATGAAATAGGGAAAATGGAGCAAGCGTATAAAACGTATTTAAAATAATAACGTGTTGCTGCAGCTTCTCTGGGCAGCCAGCGGCGATAACCTTTTCTCTTCAGAGGCCTTTGCTTCAGATACTTTGGAAAATGCTATGCCAGGTTGGGCTGGAGTGTAAGGAAAACTTATTTCAACAGGAGATAATAAATGAAAAATACAATGTTAGGTTAAAACTAACCAACTGCAGTTTCTAAAACCTCCACCTCTCCTCTCTCAAAACCAAACCCCCCAACCAATGCGGAAAGCTCTGTGCCTCATTGGATTCTAAAAACGACAGGCAGAGGTAGCATGTATGTTGCTATGGTCCTCTGCACCAAATGGAAAAGAACCTTCCATTTTAACTCTTGTCATTACAATATGGTTACCGAATGCCACAAACAATTCTTACTTTTTAATTCATCAAAAGCATTCATTTGTCCTGAGACACTGCTCACGTCGGAGACGCCATGTTTCAATTAGGCAGAGTGTCAAGAATTCAACTGATGCTAGAAGTGTTAGCGCTAGATGATTTGAGCAGGCTGCTTCTGTGTCAGGAAAGCCACTTTATTACATTCCACTCTAGAAAAATGTTGTAACATTTGTATTTTTTATTTCAGTATAATCATTAATTGCCCGAAACCTAGACATTTTCTGCCTCTCAAAGAAAATTATATTTGAAGTTGCTGATGTTTTTATTTTGATGCTTGGAAAAAAAAAAGACAAAATACATATTTCCTTTATGTGGAAATAACCCTTTTTTTCTTCCCTTCCAAAAGCACACACATAAAATATCGCCACTGGAAACAGCTTTTAAAAATTTCATTCTGTGGCCCTGCAACTCCAGTCAGTCAATATTGTTAATGTACCTTGCTAATTTGATAGGATTTGTCAGGTAACTCCACTGGAAAATTATATAAAACTGTTCCAGATGAACAGATGATAGTGACATGAATTAAAGTGATAGAACAATAGTGGAATATAAACCAGAAATGACACCCAAAGTGGCTGTTGATTTATTGCCATACTGAGTTTGGTTCTGGGCTTCCATGTATATTAGTGCTACAAATCTGGGTCCATTTAGCAGAGAGATGCTCATACATACATCACCAGCTCCTGCTCCAAGCCAAGGTCACTCCTCATTGCATCAATCTTTTCAACAGAGGCTACTTCGCAAGGCATGGATTTTGTAACCATCTCAGATGTAACAGACTTTCCTCCTCTTTCATCTTTCCTTTATCATGTAAAATACACTTTAACTTCTATTATTTTTATCTGCAAATTGTTGCTGTATACTTCATCTATTATTTCCGTATCTCAGCATCATTTGCTTTGGCGTGCACACATCCACAGGAGCACAGTCTTTGTCAATGTTGTCCTTTTTTGTGTTTTTGTGCTCCAATCTGTGTGGGTGTGTACCCAAAATCTATAGTACTAGCTAGTGCTTAAAGCTTATGTAGTTTCTGCTTTACAGTCTGAATTAGTCACATTCACAATCAAGTTAAATGATTTATCTCCAATTTTCTATAATGCAGCTTTTGTCAATACAAATGGTAAAGATACAGCCATCCAGCCCTACCTGTTTTGTTCTTGCTGTTTTCTTTGCTAGAGTCTGGATTTAGCCATTTTAATAACCTACTTTGCCAGCAATAATTTTTCAAATCAATCTGCCTCTTAGGTTTGATAGCAGAGTGCACAAATAAATGCACCTTCTCCTTACTGCTTTCTGGAAACAGAGTCAAAATGTTGACAGGACGCTGCATGTGCATCATAATGTGACACAAGTTAATCATAAAACCCCAGATCCTGTGGCTGCTGTAACTAAAGCTTCAGCTCCAATAAAAAGTCAGCCACAGAGTGGTCATTTCTTCCCTCTGTACTTATAGCATCAGTAAGAATGGCACTCAGGTGTGCGCAATCCGGGACATTCCTCCCAGCTCTCTGGATAAACCTAGTGCCAGGTTCTCTCACCGCCCTTACAAGGTGCAGTGTTGCTCAGGAAATCCAGGGAAAGAACCACGCAGGTACCTACAAACGTAGCTTACACCATTGCCACGAGCAGCCCCACTTTACCTAATCAAACCGGCTCTTTTGAAGAGCTTATTTCCCGACTGGTGGTTCTGTACAGGCAGTCGACTCATTGACGTGGATAGTATCACAGTGACGCATGCCCAGAAAGGTGACCAATGTCAGGCAGGGGCGTTGCCACATAGCCCCCTTCCCTACTTGGCAGTGGAGCATTTCTTGCACGTCATACAACCCGCCAGCAGCTACTTGCGACAAGGTGCTTACATCCACCCTGCTGCTGATGGTGCCAGACAGGCCCTGCCCCTCTCCCCTGCCAACCAGGTATGGAAGGGAGGAGGCCTATCAAAGGGAGGAAAATGCAGAGATCACTGTAAGCGGGAAAGTGCCGAGTGACTCCTGCAGCCAGGAGAGACTCCCACCTCGGCTGTGTCCACCCCAGTCCTACAGGGAATGCAGGGATCCTCCAAGCTAGGCCTGACAGAGCAAACCTGGGTCAACAGCCCCATCAGAAAGACTCCCCGAAAAGTGCTACACAGGCAGCCCCAGGGTAAGACAGCACTGTTGGTCTTTTCCCCTTTGATCTAGATCTTGGGGGGGGGAAAAAACCCTATTCTGAAGCGCACTGGGATATTTACCTTCCTTTCTGATCCTGCACCTGAAGAGAATTATGAAAACCCCAAAGAGTGGGCTCCCTCCTTAAGAAACAAGTAACGAGGGGCGGTGTCTAAGCCACACCCTGAAGGTAACAGGGAGAGGTCAGGGTCTCCCACCAGCTGTGAGAAAAACTGATGGGAGCACTTCTACACTATCATCTAAACCAAACCCATCAACCAACCAAAGGGACATGTCGGATCTTTAGCAAACGTGGCAGCGGGCTAAGATGCTGTCATTAAGCCTTGGTGCACTTAGAAATATCCTTCCCCTCAGAAACGTTCTATTGGTTTGAGGGAAATTTCCTGCCCTTCAAATGGGAGCACAGGTGGAATCGGTACTCTCACTCAATGCTGAGGGATGCTTTTAAGTGTGGCCACTGTACAGTCCAATGTTTCCTGGCCAGCATGTGTATTCCTGCAGTGTGCAGAGTAATCAATATTATTGATAAACGAGGTCATCTCATGGCTTCAGCTTCCCAGTGCCCTCAGGAAACAGGTTTTTCCAGGAAAATTGTCACTGAACTAGTGCTGGTATGTAATGTGACTGATAAATAAAAATGTCACAGAGAAAACTCTTTCTAGCGGTCCATCCATGTGCTTATGTGGCCCCGAATGCCCTAAAATCCATAAATACAAAGGACTGTATGTATTGGCTCTTATGGTTCACATTCAATGGAGTCTATTCTGCCACCACACAGCAGGAGGAGGAACACATTTAACTCCCGTTAGTGCTGAATGGTAGTGCCCTGTAATGTTTACTTTTGACACCACTGAGATGAATATCAGAAAAGACTGCACCAGGAGACAGCCCATATACATATAGTTCTTCTGACCTTGGAGGTTTTGATATTTTCCATTTGTCCAGACCTTGAACACCCCACTGGGTTTATGGCTCTGTGCTGTACAGAATTAGCACATAAAAACATACTGCAGTTGGTGTAGCCATCAAAAATAGATACATGCAGGGGATGCTACAAAAAGTGAGTAAGGAAAGTTTATGGTCCATACACTGGTGGATGGGGTCAGCCCCTTCACTACAAAACAAGTTAGACCATTTGTTTCCTGTAACAGCTCTTCTCCCTTAAACATTTATCTTTAGTGATCTGTCATGACCTTTGCAAGCTCTCATTTCTGACAGCTTCCAGACACAGTGAGTCAAACTTCATTGGAAGCAAACTATCACACCCAGATAGTTTGCTCAAGAGCAGAAAACATGCCTAACACTGTCCAACTTCAACGTCAGCATATAAATCCTTCCTTAACAAGACAGTTCAAAATAAACTGAACAAAAGCTTCCCATGTACATGTGCGCCATGGAATAGAAAGGTTTTTTGTGTGTTCACAACCTGAATGATAAAAAGACTAACGGTAGTAAAGAATGGAGAATTTTTCAAACTTATAACTATTCTACTAAACCAGTGATCTCCAACCTTTTTACACCCAAGATCACTTTTTAATCTCAGAACAAGCAAAGGTCTACTGTCCCATCCTTTCCCCAAGACCCCACCCCTTCCTTGAAGCTCCGCCCTCTCTATTCTCCTCCTCTCCATCACTTGCTATCCCCAGCCCTTATACACTCTACACTGCCACTTTTTCCCCCAATTCTTATGTAGGAAAAGGTTTTTCCAACAAGTGGCCTGTTTAGACTGGACCAAATGTTAGAAAAACCCCTACTGAGGAATATAGGGGTTACTGAAAAAGAATGTTTGCTCTTCCACTTAAAAAAGCAGAAGAACAAATGCATCCCTGGATGCGGAAGAGTTTTTCCAGGATATCTCTGGAATCCTGGAAAAAATGCTGCAGCCTAACCGTACCCCTGGGTTGAGACAGGATGCGTGGGCTCTGGGGTGGGAATGAGGGACTTGGGTGTGGAAAGGGGTGAGAGGTGCAAGCTCTGGGAGAAAATCTGGATGCAGGAGGAGGTGGAGAAGAGGATGCAGGCTCGTGGAGGGGGCTCCAGGCTGGGCAGTGGTGGGGGCAGATGGAGGGTTGCGGTACTAAGCAAGCCACAGACTTGTGGCTGTGAGGGTGCAAGAATTGGGTTGGGGTGAGGGGCTCAGGGCAGGGGGTTCCAGTGTATGATAGGCTTAGAGCTAGGGGCTGGCGGGGAGGGGGGGGGGGTAAGAGTGTTATGATACTGCCGCCAGATGGAAGCTTGGCCCCAATTGGGGGTTTGCTGGCCAGGCTTCATTTTTAAATAAAATACTACAGCCACTCCCCGAGTTACAACCACCTCCACTTACGACCATCCGCACTTATGACCAAAGTGGTCGTAAATGCAGATCTGAATTACGAATGGCGATCCGTGCTTACGAACAGCGGGGTCGCCGTGTAACGCTATGGGATCCAAGTTACAAACACTTTGAGTTACGGATCAAGCGTTGGTCCGTAACTTGTTTGTAACTCGGGGAGCGGCTGTATGTCAAACACAAAAAGGTTCTGCATTGTCTTTATTTATGAGAAGGGAAGGGAACCTGTTTTGAGTCGGGAGGTCACTGACCCACAGAAAAGTCAGTTGGGGCCATACAAGGGAGATGCAAAAAAACCAAAAAAAAAACACCTCCTCCCAGAACCCCCCCAAGCCTCACTAATCTGGCCCCAACTATGCTGGGGGGAGCAGGGGTACTAGTGGGTGCTGCAGCAGGGGACAGAGTGCTGGGGTGGGGGCAGGAGAGGGGACAGGGTGTTGGGGGGTAGGGGATAGGGTGTTAGGGGCATCAGAGGATGGTGCTGGTGTGGGGACAGGGCTCTGCAGCAAAGGGCACAGGGGAGAGGGGACAGGGTACCAGTGGGAGCAGGGGACAGGGTGCTGGGGTGGGGGGAGGGTTTTGCAGCAGGGGACAGAATGCCAGTGGGGGAAGGGAGTCCCCTGCACCAGCCTCCTCCCAGGATTCCCCCCGCCCCCTGAGGAGGAAAGCCTCCTCCGGGGCCAACTCCCCCCTCCCGTGGTGCAGAGAAGCCCCTGCGCTCACCTCCTCCGGGGCCAACTCCCCCCTCCCGTGGTGCAGAGAAGCCCCTGCGCTCACCTCCTCCGGGGCCAACTCCCCCCTCCCGTGGTGCAGAGAAGCCCCTGCGCTCACCTCCTCCGGGGCCAACTCCCCCCTCCCGTGGTGCAGAGAAGCCCCTGCGCTCACCTCCTCCGGGGCCAACTCCCCCCTCCCGTGGTGCAGAGAAGCCCCTGCGCTCACCTCCTCCGGGGCCAACTCCCCCCTCCCGTGGTGCAGACAAGCCCCTGCGCTCACCTCCTCCGGGGCCAACTCCCCCCTCCCGTGGGGCAGAGGAGCCCCTGGGCTCCCCTCCTCCGGGGCCAACTCCCCCCTCCCGTGGGGCAGAGGAGCCCCTGGGCTCCCCTCCTCCGGGGCCAACTCCCCCCTCCCGTGGGGCAGAGGAGCCCCTGGGCTCCCCTCCTCCGGGGCCAACTCCCCCCTCCCGTGGGGCAGAGGAGCCCCTGGGCTCCCCTCCTCCGGGGCCAACTCCCCCCTCCCGTGGTGCAGAGAAGCCCCTGCGCTCACCTCCTCCGGGGCCAACTCCCCCCTCCCGTGGTGCAGACAAGCCCCTGCGCTCACCTCCTCCGGGGCCAACTCCCCTTCCTACAGAGGAGGGAAGCCCCAGCACTCGCCTCCTCTGGGTACGCCCTGCCGCAAGTTCCGGCATGCCACAGACCTGAAGAGGGGAGCAATCAGTGCACTTCCGGAACCCCCGGAAGTGTTTCAATCGCGATCGACCGGTTGGTGACCACAGTACTAAATAATACAGTGTTATAGTTTACTTATCCATGCACTGTTAATAAAATTTCTACAATTTAAACCACAGACTATAAAAGCCCTATTATTATTAAAAATTAGTAAATAGATTTTTTATTAAAATCTTATGTTCTTGTAGCTGTTAGGTTTTGCAGAACATTTAGAAAGCTAAAAAGGCACATGTTAAAATCATTATAGAACATGGAATATATTTTATTCCATTTCACCATTCTATTAACACCATTAAAATCTATTGATTTAATACAAACTTTTTTTGCATGGGCTGATTTTAGGAAAGAAAATTTGTCTGCATATTTAGCAAAAAGAGTCACTAAATGATGGTCTTCGTAGACAGGGATTATATGCTACCTAATTGAAGGTAATACAAATACTTACATATTGCCAATTGATGTGCTAAGAAGTGAGATATAGTTTGTATTTATTTTGAGAGTTAGAAGGGAATAGAAGAGATCCCTTTAGATAAGGATAAAAATAATTAAACAATTTAATTCCATTTTACATGGTTTATGTGGGTTTATTGCATTAAATTGATCTTTTTGACGGTAAAATAACGAGGAGCAATGTTAAACACTCTGTTGTATAGTCAACTAGACAACATGGTGACCGGGCATTGTTATGTAACTCTCTGGACAGACATTTATTGGAAGTGGCTGAAGGTAAGACTGTCTCTGCTCTCCTTTGCCTTACAGTATGGATTGATTTACCTAACTGCACATCAGTTGTGAATCGCAGCCTGTGGACCATGCTGACTTTAAAGGACTTGTAGTGGTGGCTACTAAGCATATCTTGAACCGTAGCTATATCCATCTGCGGGTCTTCTTCTGAGGTCTCTTCTCCTCTCGAACCTGTCAAAAAATAAAAGAGACTCAAAACGTGGCACGTATCCTTACGCCAGAGCACAAACACTCCTGCCTCTCTGGCAATTGCAAGTCTATTGTTTGCCCAGCTGCAGCCAGTCATGTCACCTAATTTTTTTTTTTTTTTAAGGAAATACACAGTTTTAGTGCATTTGAGGTTCGAAGGAAATTCTCCATGTCAGGTCAAAAGCAAAATTCTTCATGAGCTACGAGCTTAAAACATATCAAAGTGAGGGTGCAACGTAAACTCTGTGGAAAATCCTGAGGATGGTCATACCCTAGAGCAGACTTTGTTAACTCATAGCTATCCTGCAGGAACTGGCTAGAGCCACTTCCTGGGCATAGTAACTACAGAAAGTCTGCAGAGTCAGCTGGAGTTCCAAGAACAGCTTTGCCAAAAGTGTGCCTATAACGAGGCCAGGTCTATACTAGACCCGGAAGGTCGGCTTAAGGTTCCATAAACCCTAAGTCAACATCCCTCAAGGCCAACTTGGTATTGTCTTCACCGTGAGAGGTTGATGGGAGCAAACGCTCCCATTGGCTTCTTGTGGGGGCACCCTCAGCTTTCGACTGAGCAGGTCTTTACTAAACCTACTAAATTGAACGCCACATGATCGATGTCCGGTGCAAGAAGTGGAGACAGGGCCTACACCAGTAGGAGCTGTGCTAAATGTGAATGGCTGAAGTAGTTCTTAATTAGAGATGAGCAAGAAAGTATTTTCCTACCCTACAAACACATTCAAGATTTCAGAAATGTTTCCTCTTCCTCAACTGGGACAAAATGTCAACATTTCAAAACTGTTTACAATTTGACAATCTTTTTAAAAATTTCAGTTTGGGTCAATCAAAATGTTTTGTTTGGATAATTTTGAAACATTTTATTTTGATTTTGACCACTTTTAATTTATTTTAAAGATGGTAATACTAGTATCAAATTATAAAATGAAAAACCATCTTTTAAATTAAAAAAATGCCAAGACGGGACATTTTGACAAGTTTAATTCCCCCCCGCCCCCCAATTCGTGTTAGTTGAGGAACTTATTAAAACGGATCCTTTCCTTTAAGAATTTTTGATTTCACCAAATCTGCATTTTTCAACATAATTGGGTGTCACTGAAAAATTGCCTTTCAGGTCTTGTATTTTACCAGTAACACAACTTACAGATATGACAAAAGCATATGGATGCATCTATCAAGCAGCCTTTTTTACTATCATTTTTTCCCAGTGTAGTCTTTAACTCTGGTATTAAAATCTTTACATTTCCCCCCGTCACATATTAAACTTTATTATTCTTAACAACGTGAGTGGTATCTTGCTACTTTTACTAAGTTCGGAGATAAAAAGCATACATTGCTGATTAGTATTCTTGTTACTACTGTAGGTACTAGCTTTAGAAAAGGTAACGTCTCATTAAGCCAAAATGCCAATTACTGAAAAAATACTTTTAAGATTTTTACATTTTATGATGTTGGATTAATATCAATTTAAAAATTACTATAACGGGACACAATCTTTTACAGAGTAATTTCATTTTAGCTGTAAATGATAATTCAGATGCTTTTAGATAAAGTGGTGCATAAATATGGTTGAAAATTGATTTAACTTCTTGCAGAAGATACTGAAGAATGACACATTTTGTTTAATACACCAGCTAATGTAGTCCTAAAAGCTGAAACAACTGCCAGTTCACAATCCTAAATTTGCTGTGGGAGATTAATGAAAACTTATATTTTGCTGAAATTTTAAAAATGGACAGATGAGACAATGGAATTTTAGCAGAGGTCTTAACAATATAGTATAAGCAGCAAAAGGCTTGTCAATTTCTACATATTAATTTTGCTCAAGACTTATGTAGTTGGATCTGGCTCAACACACTAATGCTTCCTTCATTGACCTTCTACTCTCTGGTAGTGTAAATTTATCTCCCATTTCAGGATTCCAACTGATAGCAAAACTACAGAGAGTTTCTGTGTCTGGACTCCGGTATTAAGGAGAGCGCTTGCTTTTTAGAAAAGGCAACTACCAGGGGGTGAAAGCCCTGGCACTCGAGTCAAATACACACAGTTGATGCAGTGGCAGGCTTCCTTTTAATGTGGACAATTTGGAGTTTCGGAACCGCATCCTGTTTGTCTTTGCAAGAGCTACTCTCCCAGCTGTGGGGAGGAGCAGTGTAAATGTAGAAGGGAAAAAATAAAAACTCAACACTCAGTTTTTCCCACTTGCAAAAAACGTCCCCTTTCAGTTTGTGAAGCAACATGCAGATTTTCTTGTCTACAGAACATAAGCTCATCTGTGTGGTGTCCAGAGAACTTTAGTGCCTTCTGCTGAGCACTTAAAAGTGTACAGTGGGAAAAAAACCCGTTCTGACGATATCAGCCTAACAACCCCTTTTCCAACTATTTCCCCCCTTACATACAGGGATTAGGCATGTATGTGCCTCAGCAGCACACAAAAAACGCACCAGGCATTACAATCTAAAGGTGTTCTTTTTTTAAACCTGCAAACTGGACTCTGCCATTTGAATCTTTTTCAGATGTGTACATGAGCATGTGAATTTGTGCATCCCCATCTGAACACTGCAACCACTCGCACTACAGAATGACAAGATAAATTGTAATGGCTCCGTCAGAGACATTACAATGTATTTTGTCAAAGACCCTTGTGTTAATGTCTCTATTCTATGGATTATCATAATGTATCATGTCAAACACTCCCGCTGCAGTATTTCAACGAAACATGGAGATATGTCAAACTTTTGGTGCACTTAAAAGCATTTTGAAACACTATGGCATAGAGGTTCCTGGAAGGAAAACAAGGACTATAATGGAATGGGTTGCCTGAGGATCAAAAGAAAACTGACTAGGAAAGGAAGTTAAAGGACCGAGTTCAATAGATAAAACTATTGAAATGCCAATGTAGGGCTGTCATGCATTCCTTCAATTACCCACTTGTGCTTTAACACGGCACTGTTTCAATCATAAAACTGTGCACCGTTAGGATACAATCCACAGAATAGCAATATTCTGTGGTCACGTATTTTATAGCCTGCAGCCATTTCACCTTGTAACAGTTTTCTAGCTAAGCACGGCCTGCCTGGGTGAGTAGTGAGCAAGACCTCTCCAAGGAATACTTAGAGGGCACAGGCAATCATGCTGGTGATTCAGTACTGGCAGTCTTCATTTGCAATCAACAACACAGATCCTGACCACTTGTGGCTCATCCCGGAAGGTGCAGTGTCTCCTGGTCACATCTCACATTAGGTCTGGGCTGCCCCCAGGGAAGTAACTAGCATTTTGCTGAAAGCAGTTATTGGACAGGTACAGTATCACTTCAAAGGATTTTACCACCTAACCCAGTGGTCACCAATCAGTAGATCGGGATCTACTGGTAGATCTTGGAACCTCTGACAGGTGATCCTGACTGGTTTGGCCAGGAGTAAGGATAAGTATCGAGTAATTTACTAGTCAAGTAGTCGATGGAATTTCCATCAACAACTCGACTAGTTGATAGGCACTTATGCATTACTCCTTTGAAATGTACAAGAACCCCCACTGGGGCTCTTGTACATTTCAAGGGAGGAATGTGGAACTCCGCCTGCAGCCTGGGGCCAGCAGGAAGTCCCGCTGACTCTGGGCTGCATGTGGGCGTGTCAACTTTGAAATGCCACACGGAGCCCAGGGTCAGCTGGGGACACCCCAGCTGACCCCAGGCTCTGTGCGGCGCTGTCGCTTTGAAACACCATGGCAGCATTTCAAAGGGGCAGCACCGCACAGCTGAGCCGGGGATCAGCTGTGCAGCGCTGCCCCTCAGCGTTTCAAAGTAGCGCCGCATGGAGCTGACCCCAGGCTCCACACAATGGCCTTCCACAAGCGTCGGAGTCTGGCTTTACTCATTTGTCAAACGGATATAGTAAGTGTCTGTCTTACAGGGGCATTATGAGGCTGAGCTTACTCATGTATCAGGTACTCAGATGAAAAGTACTGTCGAGAAGGGCATGGTAATAGTGTTATTAACCCCTTGATTAGCTAGTAGCCACCAAGATCCGATTCAGGGATTACATTTTGACTGGAATTTAAAATCGGAATACTTTCACACGGTTGCTCCTGCCACTTTGGTAAGTATGGGGGAACACATCCTCGGGTACGGGGTGCATGGGGCAGGACGACTTGAAGGCTGGTAATGAACAGCCCCACCCTTGGCCTGCTGGGAGTTCCAAGCTGGATTGTGCAATCGCGCTGCCTGGGAATGACCCATGGGCCAGGTGTTTGAGGCCCCTGGTTTAAATGACTGAACTGGGGAATTTTATACGTGAAATATCTGCTAACCTGGCTGGATTTGGCTACGTGAGGAGGACAGTTTAAGGTCTGCAGAACTTCTGTAGTTGAACGAGGAGCCCAAGGGTGCCCAGGAGAACAGCACTAACACTAGTAGCAGCAGAGATAGATGCCCTGCCCAGAAAACCCCCGACCACAGAACTTGGGATATTGCTCCCATCCTCGCAGCGCTCTCAGAATGTCGAGGCAACGGAGGGAATTCAATGATCGAGGAAAGACTCCTCTCCGAGCGCTGGGTGGAGACACTTGCCACACAGGCACTGTGAATACGCCTGTGGAATAGCTGCAGGCCTGTTGGGCATCCGAAGAGGGAATCACAGTATCGTGTTTGAAGGTAAAAGCTCTCATTGGGCAAAGCAATTAGTGGACACTGCATCCAGGCCCAGACCAAGAGTCCGTACAGCCGTTCAAGTCAGAGAGCACAGACAGGTCTAACACTGCGTGCCTTAGAGTGGCCCAGCTAGAGCAGTGCCATTCGAACATGGGCCGTGAAGCCACAGTCATCAGGAGAGTGACTAGAAAAAAACACCCCCAGCAAGGGGCTGCAAAGTGCCGCCTGTGCCGATGCTTTTCGTCGGTAAAACTTGTGTGGGTTAGGAGCGCACTTTCACAGCCCCGCCTAGCAGCAGGTTTACTGGCGGGAGTGCAGTGCA